GGTGGTGGTGGATCTGGCGACAACAGTAGGGTGATTTTGGCTTTGGTTGTTAGATCTGATTTGCGGTAGTTTTCATGCCACCACTATAGTGGTGGTGAGGTGCTGCGGTAGTGAGATGTTGTTGATGGTGGTGAATTTGCTTGGGGTATGGTGGTAGTATTGTTCGTAATGATTCTACAAATGGAGGTTTAGGGTGGTTTTTGTTGTTGGGAGTTTTTGTCGGTTGTACTGGTGTAGGTGTGGCGGCGACGATGTGCTATGTGTGCAATGGAGGTGGTGGTGGTGTGCTATGTGCGCGATGGTTAGTTGTAGTGATGGTGACTGACAATATTGGCTGTGGTACAGGTGAGTTGGAGGTGATTGTGAGATGTTGGTGGCAATGGGTATGTCGAGGTGGTGGTGGAACTGGCGCGACGATGTGTGTGTTTTTTTGCAATGTATTGAAATGGTGTTGCTAGCGAGTGGTGGTGGTGGTTCTGGCGGCGACGGTGGCGTGGTGTTGCCGGAGGGAGTGGTGAGGTGGTAGTCATGAGTGTTGGTTGTGGTCACAAATTATTTGATGGATTGTGACCATTAACTTGGTTAATCTGTGACCAATAAATAATATGTGAACAATGAAAAATATAAATTGTGACAAAAAAATAATGTGTGACCTAAAAAATTGTTAATTTGTGACTGATAATTTGACGGTTTGTGACTGTCTACTAAGTTGTGACTGATAATTTATATTATTTGTGACCAATGAATAAGTTGTGACGTATAAATTTTTTTATTTGTGACCGATGACCAAATTATGACTTACAAATTTTTTGAATTGTGACCTATAAAATTTCTGATTTGTGACCGTAAAATAATTTGTGACTTATAAATTTTTTGATTTGTCACCAATGAACAAATTGCGACATATAAAATTTTTGAATTATGATCGTAAAATAATTCGTGACATTTCAATTTTTTATTTGTGATTAATAAACAAATTGTGACCTATAAAATTTTTGAATCGTGACATTAAAATAATTTGTGATATGTAAAATTTGTGATTTGTGACAAATTAATAATATGTGACAAATTATATAGAATTTGTGACCAAATATGGAATTGTGAACTTAATATATTTAATTAATAAAATATATGTTTAATTAATTAATTTAAAAATATTTGAAATTTGAAATTTTAAACTTAAGTTCTTAAACTTGAAATTGGTAAAACTAAACATTTTAGTTATGTATCGTTCCCTTCTATGGAGTTGAATTGTCAAGAACTTGTTTTACTGAGAATTGTCAATTAATTGTGTTTGATTGATATAATTTTTCACCTGAAAAATATTGAAATTTTGGATCTTTTGGTGTTCATTTGACTTTATTTTTCATGAAATTGTCCATTAAAAGGATATAATTTGTTTCCATAGCAAAAAAAAAACCCAGAAAACCAATTGATTTACCAAGCAATAAAATGTGGCAAAACCAAGAAAATGTGGAAAACCAATTACTTGGAAAATGTTTCTTATCAAACACTTTAAAAAATGAAAAATGACAAAAAGTTTTCCATCTTCCATGGAAAACTTGCCCTATCAAACAAGACCTTCGTTTTTTCTTTCCCCTAAATTATAAAAATGGACTAGGATTTGCTAGGCTAATTTTGACATAATTTTTAACAAAAAAGGTATGCGCATTTTGTCATTTAAGCATGTATCTACAGTCAATGAAATAGGTTGACCGCATTACCACGTGCATACCTTTTATGCAAGACGTTTCGAAAATATATCGAGTATATGAACACATTTTATAATACTACTAAACACAGTATATTGATAATATGAAGCTCGGCAATCGCAACCAATTATTAACTAAGAAAATCTCTCATTGCGAGGGGTAAAAACCTCAAATAATTATAGTCCACTAAACTTCTATAATAAATAATGGAATACCAGAGTCACGTCGTGAAAATTTAGGATATACAATTGCAACAGCTTCAAGAACAAAAGTTCTTGACAAAGACAAAAATTACTAGTTCAACCAAAACAGGAAAGGTTCTTATTCGGATAGACAAGAATTCACAGCTAAATCGCACCCATGCTCTTGAGGATTTTTAACATCTCTTTGCTTTTCTTGTCTTATTGCTTCCAAGCCCTGGTGTGTGTTAAGTCATTAATTTGCTTACTCATTCAGATGGACTTGTCTAAATCACGTGTAAACAAAATTATTTATTTGACGAATTGGGAAATATTGAAAATTAAGATATGAAACGTCCTTTAGACGTTACAAGATATATGCTGCCTCAGTTGAGAATCAGCGAATTAAGAACTTCGATTAAAAAAAGAAAAGAGAGAGAGAGAGAGAAGAAGAAGATAAAGAATTGTCCGAGACTCCAAGGTAATATGATCACCAAGTTTTGTGCTTAACATTTAGTGCACTTCCACGTATATATGATAAGGCTAAAAGACAAATTCAGCAAAATGTTAATGTGCACAGATGTACTTGTCGAATATTTATAGCATGTTTCAACGTCATTTTTATGTATTTTGAAATCGTATTTTGATGAAAAATGTGTGGTTAAAAAATAACGAAATATTTTGAATTTGCGTGTAATATTATTTTATTGAAAAATGTATGATTGAAAATAAGAGAGAGAAAAATATATTTTGAAAATAATAATGACCAAACAAGGGTTAAGTCATTGGGTTGTGTTTTAAGCCTTTGTTTGATCTTTATTGTTTTTAAAATACATCTTTTTCTATCTTATATTCAATCACAATTTCTTCAATAAAATAATATTATACGAAAATCTAAAAATTTTCCTTATTTTTTAACTACACATTCTTCATCAAGTCACTATTCTAAAATGCATTTTTACAAAAAAAAAAAAAAAAAAGAAAAAATAAAAAAAAAAATTATAAAAAAAAAAAAAAAAAAAAAAAAAAATGGAGCTCAAACATGCTCTAAATCTGATTTATTTTTTTTAATTAAAAATATAATATTCTATATTTTCATTTTCTAAAATTTTTTTCATTTTTTTTTAAAATTTTACTATTTAGACATAAGTTAAATATCTTCTAATTCCTCTGTTATATTATTTTCTTGATTGATATAATAAGTGGAATCCAGTTAGTTTTATTTATCTTCCTCCCATTGATCATGGACTAATTAAAAATTTATCTGGTTGTTATCAATTGTACTGTCAAGACATATTGGATAACAATCATGCTAATTGAATCCTCCTTTACATTATGTTTAACACTCTTCCAAACGGCATCAATCAGAACATTATTTTCTACAACACCCTATCACATCACTTGCCAAATTTTGACACATATGAAGAATGTCAATAAAAACATAAATGGTGGATTAGCCATTGTAACAGCTTGTTCACAAAATCGTGCCTTGGAAAATGGGTAAAGGTTGCTCATGTGGGTTGATCATAATCCGACCCATTTTTGTTAGAATTTGGGTATGACTTGAATTCATTGTTGAAATAATTGAAAAATTCTAATTGAAGTGCACGTCAAGAGAAATTCAATTTGGAATGTTGTTGGAGTCTTATTCAAGTTGAAATTCAATTTGGAAGTTGAAATTTGTATTGGACTTAAAAATGATGAAATTATGGATCAGGAAGAAAAGTCGCCTCATTTTAGCTAGCCTAACACTAGGCTACTCAAGCAACACTTGCAAGTTTTCTCCCGAGACTTGGTCGCTCACCTGGCACTCAAGCGACGGAGCATCACTAGCCTGTCGCTCGAGCTACAGTTTTATTCAGCCCAAACCTGTTTCGCATTTTAACACTTTTTGACATTCAACTTCAACTACAACTACAACTTATCTATTAGGGTTTAGACGTCGCATTACATAGTTGCCGATATATACTTTGTTCTTCTATACAATTTCAAGATGTGAGAATAAGGTGAGAAAGTTGATTACTAGCTTTTAGGGTCATTGCAATATTTCTCCATTTTCATTATTTGTGGTGCAATAAAATTTCATAATTCGTCAGCCATATTTTCTTGTCTTCTTTTATTCTTTGCTTGTGATCAAATACTTCATTATTATACCATATGACTTTAACATCTTAATCCGGTGATTGATTTCATATATAGTGGTATCAAACAATATAGGATCCTTGAATTCCCAACAATTGGTATAAAAAATTCTGGACATAATTGACACAACAATTTTAATAAGGAATTTCACCACATAACATATTGAACTTGCATGACACGTAAAACAGTGATCCATTTTAGTAAAAGAAACGAAATATAACAGTGTTTCAACAGTGGTCCATTTGAAGGTGACATACTGCATTTTCCAAAACGTTTCTATAACAGTGTTTCAACGTCGGGTGCTAAATAGGTCAAAATATTGTAAAACAGAATCGGATTATATTTTGAAAGTTGCCAATAACAACGTGTTTGATTCCCTTTCTACGTTGTTTTATCCTAGTTTACCATCATAACACTTCAGTTATTTTCAGGATTCTTGTTTATACCATGCATAAATAATACAAGCTATTTTGTCCATAGGAAACAACTAATATACGATTTATTGACTAATTTCAATGCTCGAATCTCAAACATCAATCACATCTTCCCTTCACACTATCATTGATCCATTTGACCATTGAGGTACGACAATGGTTACTACTAAAATTCGATTTGAAGGAAAAGCTTAGGAGTTACAAGAATATGAAAGATCACCAACGACCCCAAACGCAGTATGTGATACTTGTATAGCATTGACACTTTGGCTATCTTGAAGTCCTTGCTAATTGAAAGAAACATGTAGATAACACATAGGAACTGGGAAACAAACTCGCACTAAATTTTTATATAGTCCATTCCAAAATAAACTCCATAATACACTACTAACTTGATCTTGACCATATTTTAGGCACCACACAGGTGTCAAATTTATTTAGGCAAGAATCAGTGTGATAAACCTAGAGAACGCGAATAATGTGTACCTCAAAACCTGTTCCTTTTTCTTCAGATGATTGAAATTGTTTGCTTGCTACATGTTGTTGATCTTTATTGCTTGCAATGGGCTCTTCCCTCTAATCGTGCTACTCTGTTGAAGCCTAATGTAGTCTTGGTAGGCAATAGGCCGATATTGGATATCACTGTTTTTGTCCAACAGCTGGCTTGCAGGTGCAATTACAGCCGTCAACTCAGGTCCATGTCCTACAGCTACTGAAATCCTCTTCTTTTGAGCGTTTACCACTGCTCGATGCTCCACACTCTTGTACATCCCATTGCTCAATATCTACAATATATGTATAGGCTAGCATTGAGATATGATGAAGGTAGACTGAACTGAACTACACTGTTGATAAAGAAAAAATGCTAAAATCTTATCTATTTTACCATGTAAAACATTTGCTTAGAGTTCTATGAATTTATGCAGTAATGAGTTGAGTAGAAACATGCTAACCTCCAAATAATCTCCAATATTGACAAGAAAAGTGCCTGGGACATGTTGAACTGCTGTCCATGTTTCATTGTGTTTGATTTGCAACCCATCAACATCATGATTTTGCATCAAAATTGTGAGTCCACCATGATCTGAATGACCTGCAAGTCCTAATGTCTTCTCTGGCTCTGGGCATGGTGGATAATAATTAGCAGCTTGAACTTGAAACCCTTCACCAAGTGATTTTTCTATGTAGTCATGATCCAGCCCTAAACCTTCAGATATTGCACTTGCTATCTTCATGGCCAACTGCCAAATCTGCTCCAAGTATTCTTTTGCTACATCCCTTCACATCGAATTCAGTTCATGATCAGTCCGAAGGTTGCAATTCTAAAACCAAGTTTGAAGCACACTATCTTTTGCTAGGAATATTAACTAAAAAATCAACATTGAGAACAACTGGTACATGGTGCTCAAATTTAAAAATGTTTTCCGTGAGAAAACTTAGCTTCAATAGGAATCAAAAGAAATTATTTGAATCAAGTATAAAAACGAAAATTGTATTCTTAAGCAAACTTATTTCATATGAATTTATCATTAGAACAATCACATATTCTTGATTATAGGCAATATTTCGCTTTAATTACTGTAAAGTATTGAACCGACAAGGATCGTATACCCTTTTTCCACAATATTCTATACAATTTCCAACAATTTCAAGCATTTTAAGTTTGACTTAATTTCTCATTCACCAAACAAAAAATTCCACTTAAACAATCATTTAAATTGGTCATAACCAATGTCGAATTTTCCAACAATTTATACATGTATATTGATACTGATTTGTGTCACCTGTAGACAGGGGGATTATCTGGCCAGAGGTGGAAGGTTTTATGACATGGGTGGCCATAATGTCTGAAATAGTCCCTCCAGTGAAGGGAATGCTTCATTGATGTATTCAAGCTCGTTCCATATCTTATGGGACTCATTACATTGTCAGAAGCATATTTCATTTTCTGTTCCCAACTCAGATCAAAGAATTCCTCTACAACTTTAAGCATTTCAACCATTAGAGACGTCCGAATCCCATGATTGATGATCTATTGAATTTTGAAACAAGCAATAATCATAATTAGTAGTGTGCATAAAGATCAAATCAAGTTTTCCCAAATATATGAAATGGAGGGTGTGCAATATTTTCCTCTCAAAGCTGCAGAATTATATATGAACATAAAAAATTAGTAATAAATTTAATTAGACTATAGTCATTCTAAATACAACCTCAAGTTAGCTAATGAAATTGTTTAACACTATTTCCAATTTTGACCAACAAAAAATTGGAAACTTATTCATTACTCACCCTGAAGAATCCCCAGTCAGCACAGGCAGAGTTGATGTCTCGAATAGTTGAAACTCGACGTTGAACAGGTCCATGAAGTCCACTCAAGTCTATGACAGGTATTTCAGCATGAACAGCAGATAATGGATTTCTCAGTAATGGAAGAGCAAATTCTGAAGGCAGCTTCTTCATGTCAGGTTCATTATCAATAAGAAACTTAACACCTTTTCTGTAATCACTACCGCTTTCTTGATTATCACTGGAAAATGCGAAACCAGTGCTGATTATAGAAGAAGAGGCATATAGTGCCATGGCAAGATGGTTGCTGTAGCTGGAGTGATTGTTAGAATAATATGAAGTTCTAATCGACACGTCCTTAATATGACTGTTGAAATGATAGAATGGTGGCATAGACATGCAGATGAGACGACATTTTCTTTTGTTTCTCGTGAGAGGTGTTCAGTAGTACAGATACGTGTCCTTCGCTTAGCGAAGAAGCCCTCTGCGTGGCCTTGTCATGAGAATCAGTTCTTATGAAGATGAGCAGTGGAACTTACAGCTAGTTTATATAGAAATCGAAATGGAAAATAAATGACAATAGCAGGCATCATGCCACAGAATTTTTCAATTTTTGGAACAAAAATGCTCACCTTAGGTGCTATGTATTTATTTTTATACTAAATAGGATTGTGTCTAGTGCAATACATTTATGTCCAATGTGACATACAACTAATTGCAAAGGTGGTACAGAAATAAATGTACAAAAATTAGAAGTATTTAGAGCTTGTTTGGTAGGAATTTTTAGGGGAAGAATTGATTTTGAATAGTGATATGATGGGAAATGTGTTGTTGAAAAATAAGAAAAAATTATTGATGTGATTGGAAAATATTATTTTATTGAAAAATGTGTGGTTGAAAATGAGAATCAATTCTCAAATAAAAACAAACACCCCCTTAATTTGTTTCTGTACTATATTAATATAGGGTTGTTCCTAGTACAATTAAATCTGTCGAAGGTGACATCTAACAAATTACAAAGATGGTAGAGAAGAAATAAATTAACATAAAGTAAAAATACAGTCTTCTCAATCAACCAATACATATAAATAGATGGTCCCTCTTGTGGCGGCATACTCAAGATGTGTCTTGTCTACCTTTCAGTATTTTTTGCTTTTGGTGGATTTTATGTATTCTACGTTATAATGAGAGGAATAACAATTTTTACGAGAATGTATCGTAAAAAAAGAATGAAAAATTTGTAGATTTACGTGTAATATTATTTTATTAGAAAATGTGTGATTAATAAGAAAATAGAGAAAAATGAATTATAATTTAATGGAGCGTAATGACACGACTCACCCCGGATCACCTTAGTAGACCTGAAAAGTGACGTGCATCGATGATAGATGCAGACCCACCACCAAAGCTGACTATGAATTACTACTAAATATGCAAAAAAATATATAATGCAATAGGCCCAAAATAATTACTTCGTGCTTTATCAAATATATCATATCACTCAATATATCGTTTTGAAAATTCAATCCCTTTCCTCGGGGCGAGAAGTGGCTATGATTATTCAAAGTAAATGGGGGTTGAAGCTTTTTGGCCTATGAGTTTCCATTTCGGGTAGTTTTTGCTTTGTGAGAATAGCACGTGAACGGCTTATAAATAGAAAGATTCTTGTTTTCAGACCTTGTTTTATCCATATCGGAGGCAAAGGGGTGGCTATTACTTTGAAATCAACAAGCTTCTCCAGTTATAAAGAATCAATTGCTACCTGTAAGGAAAAATAGTGGGAAAATATATTAGTTGATAGCTCAATGATTGGAAAATTTGAAAATAGTTATACATTCTCGTTTATACATATTTATCGAAAATCTAGTTCGTATTATTTAATAGTTCACAATATAACATCAGATATTAACAATCAAGACATGAATCATTCTCGAAATATTGAAAAATACCATTTCATAATCATGATACAATCATCAACTGAAATCCATACCATCATTTCATCACATCAAATGTATCGAAAAGTTTACAAAAAATGTACCCTATGACTGAAATCTGTAATCTAGTCATATGCGTATAGACTGCCCTTTGGGCTAAGCACTCCCGACATGGGCCTTAGGCTCTCTCAGTGAACGAAAGTGGGTCTCAAAGACCTCTCATAATCAATACTAAAACATGGCTAAGGCCCCTCAATGATTATATGCACACGGTCAAGATTCTTTCATTCACAGTCAAGACCCCTCAGTGTAGTATAGAACACAGTCGGCCCATCAGCAAACTAGAACAAATATATAATTGTGGGTACTTTTCTTATGGATTTCAATATCACACGTCTCACATCCCAATTCACGATTAATCCATATAAAATCTTTAAAAATTCCATACATATCATAATGAAATAATATTTCCACATTAATCGTGTAATTGGATAAACAATTCACATAATTGCATAAAATGTATAATAGTATAATTAATTTATCAATACTTGAAAAATATTTAAATTTTTCCATTCACAGATCTATGAATAGCAATATGGTTAAATTAACTAGTATTTCCAAACTTTCATGTCAATACCTGAAATAACGATATAACAACTCAAATTATAATATGATAAGTAAACTAAAGCAAATCTACCACGTAATTCCTCGACTTCTATGTTTATTCTTGCGTCTCTATTTCTCTAACTTTTCCTGTCTATAATTATTTACCAACATATCACCACAAGATCAAATCCATTAAGCATGTGTTTAGCACCCATTTTGGGTGTATTATAAATTTTGAAATAGTAATTGATGGAAGGATGTGTGGTTGAAAAGTAATGAAAAATTTTATATTTGTTTTTAATATTATTTTATTTGAAAAATATGTGGTTATAATTAATAAAGAGAAAATTAATAATAATAATAATAATAATAATAATAATAATAATAATAATAATAATAATAATGGGTGTCAAACATAAGATACTATACTTTCATTATATATATATGAACTTCAATATTTATCATATTCTTTCATTCAAAATATTTAAAATCTGAAAATCAAAGGTTTGACAAAAGTAGCACTAACATTTCAGAGTATTGAATTGTGGCATTAGTTTCTGTCTTTTGAAAGCAGACCAAAACCATTGACAGAAATAGTACTTTATGGAATAATTTCAAAAATAGCATCTGTATATAATTTAGTCTGAAAATTGCTTTAAAATGGAGAATTTCAATCTCAAATCCTTAATTTAAGTATTTAGCAACATATAATCACAAGAAAATAAAAGAATATGTATTTATTTCACAAACGCATTTTAAAGTTCCACTTTCTTCAACTCCAATTTCCAATTAATCATTTATTTGCTATACTTTTATTTAAAACCTCAAATACACATCTATAACACCTCATTCTTGCTAACTTTGATTTTTTTAAAAAAATTCCATGAACCACAAAAGAAATGAGTTCACACTGTTAAATTTACCTTTCTAACTTAAAGGAAGAATTTAAGAAATTGAGAACCTAACCTTGTAAAATTGGAACCTACCTCTTCCTTCTTTTTCTTTTTCTCTCCCTATTTTCCTTTCTTCTTCTTCTTCTTCTTCTATGGTTTTGTTCCCTGCTCTCTCTGTTTGTTCTCCCAAAGAAATGAGAAAAATGAGTGGATATGTTTAAAGTTAAATGGATAACTATTGTAAAATTGTAAGAAAAGTCCCCAATCTTCTTATAATATCACATTTAGTCCCTTCATTTCCAATAATATCAACTAAATCCCTAGAATCCTTTA